TTTTGCAGATCTTAAAGGCTCTTGGGGAATAGACATCCAACCCAGGGAGCATACTTTGCTGCAGGCTCTGCAATGAGTGCATCACCCTTAGAAGCACATGAGCATTGAGGGGTTGGTTGGAAACTCACGGGCAAAGAAGACATGTAAGAGCTTTCTGGGGGAAGGGATGCTAACGAACTAGGGTTGTGGAGTGGGAAGAGGTGTAGAGTGCAGGGAGTAGCAATGGGGGATATATCTCTTTATCCTCTTATTATTTTCAACATCCTTCTCAATACTTTTTTTTAAAGGCTGCTGACTGCATACCAGTTATACATGTTCCTTTCTTTGCAATAGATGGAATGGCTGGAAATATTTGTCAAGTTTCCTTGTATTCAGGCATGGGATTTGAGGGAGTCCCTGTAACAAAGGAAATAGGTCCTGATTTATTCTTTCTCCCATCCTACTTTCTGGAAGTTGAGTGTGGTGATGAGAGTTCTGGCAGTCATCTTGGACCATGAAGAAAAGGAAATGCAGGAATAAACAGAAGGAAAAGTGGATCTGTGCACCAGAAGGAGTATAGTTCTCTGCCTCACGGACAGCAGATCTCAGCAGTCTCTCTGAAGTAAGAAACAGAATTCCCTCGCACTTCCCCAACACCCCTACCCCCACCATTATATTCAGATAAACCTAATTATGACCAATCCATCTTCGAAGGTCACTCTAACTCACAATTATTATTCCCTTCTCTTCCTTCGTAGTGCATGCTTGCCCCTTTCCTCAACCAATAAATCTCCATCTGAAGAAAACTTCTGTTTGGCTCTGTGACTTCTCCTGGATGTATCCACTACCTTTCCAACAAGTTACTGGCTCCATGAAGGGAAGAAGCTGTCATACATTTTTGTCACCAACATTTCTAGCAAACTGTTGGGCATATAGCATACGTTTCATAGGTGCTCACTGCTTGGTAAACACCGTGATCTCCCTGGAAAGAATGTGGGGATTTTAAAACACATAATATTCTCCAGACTATTCATAACATTAATAGACAAAAACATGCTGATTATAACATACTACTAGTAAATAATTGCAAAGGAAAATAAGTCTTCAAGGGGGGAAAGAGGAAATATTCATGAAGCAAGAGCTCTCAGACACTTGGGCATGGTGTCACGTACAGAGAAATTTACAGAGAAGCCACTAGGATCACCTTTTAGGCCGAAGCCAATGACAGATGCTCACTGCCTCCTGCTCTCAAAAACACAACCTCGTGAATGTTCAAGGTGCTTGTGCTCAGAGTCCAAGTACGTCACAACATTCTCCATCCTGGTCTTTAGTTGAAAAGAATTCATTTTCATATGCATAAAGCACATTCTACTCTGCGCTGTGGCTCCTGCTCACCTCTGGGAGAACCACTGCATGCCATGCTTCAGGCATCTGCTTCTCTGCAGAAACCCAGCGCCAAGCCACCACCCTGTGGACAGAGCCACAGAGCCCCTGGTCTAGGAAGTGTCATGGGAAATAGGCCAGTGACAGTGTGGAGGAAGCCTCAGTTCCATGCGCATGTCAACCAAATGCAGAAACATGAAAAACAAGAAAACAGGAAGGAAATTTCCATTATCAAAAGAAAGCAAAATCGCTTCTTAATTTGTCTCCTCTTTACCAGTTTTGAAGCTAGACACTTGCTCTTTCCTCATTAACTTCAGTCTTTGGAGTAAATTTTTCCATGGTAAGCACTCTGTACAAAATCATTTTCACACATTTTTCAGATACATCAATCCTTCCGGCATTCCTCTGTGCACACATTATGGTACCCGGGCTCTAAATATAAAAGACTTTTATTATGTCCATTAACCATGGACATATGTGCTCCAAAAGTTTCCTGACATGCAGTCATTTGTGGTTTTTTAATTATAAGCAGAAAATATTCACTAGCAAAATAAAGAAGGGAGCCCCTAAGTAGATCTTTATGCATTTGAGTTTTTGTTTGTATGCGACCAATGAGAGTAAATGAGTCTCCCAGTTGCCACATTCAGGTTGTGAGGATATGTGCGTTTTTACAGAGAAATTCACTTGAGCAATGAAACCCACGCATGGTCCATAACTCAGACATTAGTAATTGCAGGTACCTCTCTCTTGTTTCTAAAGTAAAGGCATGCAAATTTTCCTTCAACCCTTTACATCTCTCTCTGAAAGAAGATTAAATGGGGAGTTGACTAATGCCCAGGAAATTCTTGACAAACAAAGTCATATTTATTGAATGCGTTTTATTTTAACAACCAAAAAATTCTAACAGCCTAACAATGCACATAAGTTAAAAATTAATTATCACTTAGTGATAACAAAGATAGTTGATTTACATGGAAAAAAGAACATTTACAATATGTTAATCCTTATTCACATTGTTGATACTGCAATAAAACACAATTTGTTTTTTTCTTTTTCATTTCACAAAAAAAAGGGTGGGAAATTGTGCTTTGTCAAGAGGCACTACAAGAGAAAGTTTCTTCTTCCAAATAGATATTATATGACAGATATTGAATAAATAGACATATATGCATTGTAATTCGCAAAGATCTGGCAAGACCACAGGCTAAAATGCCCACAGATTCACTTAGAACCACTGCAAACTTGGCAGTGAAATTAAAAAATAAAAGGCAAGACTTAGCATTGAAAAATACCTAATAAATTTTTGGTTGAAGTGTAAAAGATACCAAATGCGGATGCCATCAAGAGATGAGCCACCTTGTAAGAGCTTGGCAAATCAGTTTCTATGATGTGTACAGAGTGACCTTCAGCAACAGTGTCAGAAGACAATTTGGAAAGAGTAACTCAGAGATCCGGAAGCAGCAACCACGGACTTTCTAATTAAAGCTGCAGCATACTCCAGACAGAGGAAGGATGGGCCCAGCGCTGAATTGCAAACAACCATCCTTTTGCAAAGGTATAGGACGCTCATGTCAAGATCATTTTTCAACATCATTATTCGAAAAAGTACAGGAAAATGTCCCTTTAAAAACTCCAGAGGTTACTGAGCAGCTAGAATTAGCTTGTATTGCAACATGTCTTCTCCCTGTATATTGTAAGTTCTGAGTTAATATCTACACATAGAGGTTTTTTTTTTTAACTCCTACCTTTTATACCTTTCAAATATATAAATAGTATTAACAGTTATATTACAATGTTTGTGTAGTAAACAGAAAATAACTTTCAAAGTGATATTGCATGAGGTCTTTTACAAGGTTGCATGAGAGCACAACTCAAAAAAAAAAAAAATTCCAACCACATGGGACTGTGTAATGGCCACGGAAAGCATGGCTTAGGTGCTCTAGGCCAGTCCTGAAGGTGAGGTCTCCTCTTGCAATTACTGTTAAGCAGAAGTGGAAAGTAATGCTACTGCTATTTTTGCTAGGAAGCGGAAGGAGGTTTTGGAGAACTCTAGTAGATCTCAGCTTTAATGCTCATTCCACTGAACAGCCAGTTGGCATTAGTTCTGCTTTATGTAAGGTAATTGCTATGTAGGTAACTGGGATGCTATTTCCTTTGACAAATAATAGGTGATTCTACTGCAGCCGCTTCACTTGCTCCACTGCCTGGAGCTGCACAGTGATGCAAAACCAGGTTTGTATTAGGGCTGCCATACCAGGGGACGGAATGGAGGGTTTGGGTGATCGGGGACTGCAAGAGCTTGGTGGAGCCGGATGGGACGTGTGTGAGGAAGATGAGGAAGTACTGAAGTAAAACAGAAGTAAAAAAGAAATGCCATTTTGGGAGAGGAGTTGGATGGAGATCTATTTGAGCGGGAGCCCTTTAACAGGGCAGCAACTTCTTTCCTAAGTTAACATTACACCGAACTATTTTCTAGTAAAAAAAAAAAAAAACAAAAAACAAAACAAACAAAAAAAACTTAACAAAACCAGCAACAACGTTTAAATGAGCAGGCATATTCATCATTAATATTTGAAGCCACAAGCAGTTAAATAGAGTTCACAACAAAATGTGGCTCATTCTTGGAATTCCGTATGTCCAACATCAAAATGTCATTTTCTCAAGACTACTAATGGACAAGTGTTCTCTGCACTGAATCTCAGCTTCACTCATTTAGAATTCCACAGAAAAGCATCTGTTCACTACAGTTATGACAAATTGAATAACGGAACATATCAAGTCATTTTATTGAGTCATTTTAAGTGTGCACTGTGTCTTTAGTAATTTGACTTGTATCATTTCAATGTGCCCTGATTTTTGTGATTTTGTCACTTTCCTTTCTTTGTTTCTCCTTCATTCTTCCTTCCTTTCCTTCTTTCTTTCTCTCTCTCTCTTTTTTTTTTTTGGCAGTGTTGATTTACTTTTGTTAAATACATACCTCAAAAATTACCCATTAAGCTGCCAGACAGGAAGCCAAAAAATTTAAAAAAAATAATAAAATCAGGGATAAACACAAAAAAATAAATAGGAATTCAAAAATAGTCACCCCACCCTGAGAGCAGGCCGCAGTTTATCAAAAAGCCAAAGCAACTCACTGTGAAGTGGTTTTTTTGTGTGTTTTTTCTTTTAATACATAAACAAGTCTTTTCTTTAAGAACTCATTTCACAGTCTATTCTTTCAGATTGTAAAGTTCTCTGTCCCATGCAATTTTTAATATATATATATGTAAATATAGAGATATATACATATACATATACACACACACACACACTTGTAGCTTCCTTCATTGATTCCGTAGGTCTTTTCATCCTGGAACTTGCAGATGTCTCTTCTGTAAGTGCAAGGCAAATGAAGGCAGAGTCTCCTGTGATTCTCATGATGGTGAGCCAGTCCGTTGCAAATGTGTAACACTTTGAGTGTCTTTGCCAAGGCTATGTCTGATTCAGAAATACTGAACATAGTCTATAGGTATATCCTGTGCAACAAAGAAATGTCACTTAAGGTAAGAAAAACAAAACAGACAGACATAAAAAGACACAAATAAAATAAAGCAAAAAAAAATTTTTGTTGTTTTGTTTTTGTTTTTTTTTTTTTTGTTAAGGAACTACAACAGAACATCCTTGAAGTGATGTATTGCTTGGCCACAGGGCAGTTCACATTATCTCTGGTCGATCTCTGCTGGCGCTGCCTTGCTCTTGTCGGCACCTTCCTCCTCAGCCTCTACTTTGTACATCTCCTCGGAGCCTTCCTCGCTGTCGTTCTCCTCCGACTCGGTCAGCAGCTCCTCGTCCTTGTACTCGGCCACGTCCACCGCCGAGCCCAGGTGCTCCTTCAGCTTCCCGTGGTGTTTCACGTGGTACCTCTGGTTCTGAAAGAACTTGATGATGGTGTGTTTGGGGAGATCGAGCTGGGCCGACAGGGTGTGGATGGCTTCCTGGTCGGGGTACAAGCCTACGTCGTGAATAAAGCTTTGGAGAATCCCCAGGGCTTCCAAGGAGATCTTTGTGCGAGACCTGGGCTTTTTGGCACAACCGTCTTCGGCCGCAGGGGGCGGGGGAGGCGCTTCTTCTCTGGGAGGTGAGCTCTCCTTGGCTGGCTGAGACTGCTGTCTGTGGAGAACCTGATAAACCAACAGAACAGAAAGTCACCATGGGACCACGGTGCTACCCTCGGTTGCACCAGCCCTCAGAACTGTGCACTATTTACCCAGGACAGGAGGCACATCTGTTAGAGATGGACTTTCTCAGCATCACCATAAACTGATCAACCCTGTGTTGGGGTGCACCTCCTAATTTGTTTTTAAAAATTCTCTCTAAAAAGTAAGGTTTATTTATTTGAAACACAGAATCAGAAAGAGAGGAAGAGACTGAAAATCTTCCATCTGCTGGGTCACTCCACCAGAGGCCACAGGGAGCTGGGCACTCCCTCTGGGTCTCCCACGTTGGTGCAGCACCGCACTGGCTCCTGATGTTCATCAGTGCTTCGGCAGCACTCTTTTTGCATGAAATTCTAATGTTGATTTAGTAACTTCTTCAGTCTGACTTAAAGAGGATGGGAGCATTTGGATGAATGGGTAAGCTTCGAGACTGCCTGGCTTCCTCTCCTGGCTCTACTCGTGGCCTGCTGCTATAGAACCTGTGGGCTAGCAAATGATGGCTCAAGTGCAGGGGCTTCCACCACCAGGATGGTAACCACGTTGAGTTTCCAGACCCCGGCTTTGTGCCCCTTCCCAAAACCACTGAAAGCGTTTGAGAAGGGATCTCCCTCTCTTCCTGTCTCAAATAATAAACAGATAAATAAATAAATGTTTCAAAGAGGAAGGAAAGAAGGACGTACAGCAGACTGTCATAAGACCTGGGCTCTGGCTCTCACACTGGCCACATGAGAAGGACTTCTTGCAGAGAGGGGAGGTAGCATCAGACTCTGACGAGGAAGCCTGGCTGCTGCTTATGCCTCACAGCTTCCATGGCTGCCTTAAGCAGTCCTATCAAAATGTGCTTTGGCAGCAAGTTCTGCCTGTCCCACACCAAGCTCGACATATCACTTCTCAAGTTCTCCCTAGACCCTGAATAGCAAAGTCACTTTCCAAAACACACACTCACACACACACATTTCTCCTTTTCCCATTCACTCCTATTTTATATGAGCTTTTTTCATATTACAGCAACAAATTAAACACTTTCTAGAGTCCAAAGGGAAGCAACTCTATCGGTGCAGACATTTTTTTAAAAATGCCTAGTTATACTCAAGAACTGCTTGACCCACCATCCATGTCCCTAGCTGTTCTTGTCACCACCATGTACCATTTGCATGACCCATCATTTAAGCTAGGAAAAATAAGTATCAAAGCAGGAATCTAAGGAAAAATATCTCTCTGTCACTCATCCCACTCTTAGTGGCTTAGATTTTTAAAAAATAATGATTTTTTCACTCTTGTGAAAATGCCAAGCTTTCATAGTCAATTTAATAAATATTACGACAGATGATACTGTTACACCTAATGAAAGCAACAATAAACAGAAGGTGTTTCAACCTTTCAAATTATCAATAATCTAAAGTCATAATCAAAAGAAAAATTATGAGCAAGTAAGATTCTCTGTCCTAACAAGCTGAATGTTGGTAGCAGACAGAAATGTAAACCACGGCACCATAAAACAGTGGCACTAAAGTCCAAATAACATTGACCAATTAAAATGAATGTTCTTAGCATTTTCTTTCCCACTTCCAACTAAGAGTAAACTCATGTGGTCTGATGTGGGAAGCTGGCATCAGCAAAAAAGTGAGAGCTCTGCTCCTCCAAGGACTTAATTATACCCAGCAGGGAAAGTAAAAGCTGCATGGGGGGCTTGCGCTGCTCACGTCAGCTTTGAGGGCAGGAGGTATTTGCTCTGAGGCCATAATCTGGGCAGCACAAGCTCTGTAACAAATAAAGCCTGCTGTCCACAGGTGAGGACTTCAGTCTTTGGCAAGAGGGGCTGGAATTATGTCCAGGACACATATTTGAAGAACATCTACTCAAACACGAGCACTCCTTATTAGAGCAATTGTGTTAATTGGAAAACAAAAGAGAATTAAAATGCCCCATTTTCTAAATTATGCTTGCCTTCTGTAGTAAAAGTCAGCATAACGGTTCCATTTAATGGAATAATTACATTGGTTCTTTAGGGGTTTTCCATTGTGCATTGGTTAGATTTAAAGAGGTTTTTCCAAAACTATACTTTGAAGTTCCTGTAATCTTTCTGCATGATAGCATTTGTTCCTCTCTTTAGGTCCAACCAATTGGCCCGTTTTACCTTCTCCTGTTTCTTAGAACTGAGCAGTAGTAACACAGATGTGCAGAGAACCAAACATGGCATAGAGACACCAGTAACGACACTTCCTGAGCACTCATGTTCTATGCCAACAAGTTCTCAGAACTCTGTCTGGATTAATTAATAGAATCCTGACACTTCTTCAACAAGGTGTTATTTGGATCAAGAATGTGCTGGAAAGATGCAGCAGAAATGCAGGAGAATCCTCTAAATGGAAAATCATACGCACCGGGAGCTGTGTCAGTCTGAGAAGACAGGTTGCCAGAGCACAATGACAATGTCACTGCCCATCACAGATTAGAAAGGTGTTTCTAAAGAGAGGTACTGAAAGGGGAAAGAAAAGCTATCTACAAACAGAAATACCTAGTTGCTGGTGAGACGATGTAATACAGTAAGCAAGGCAGTATGACAGTGCCTACAGAAGGAAAAGTAGGTGGCATCTATAACATCTTCCAGGTAGGCCAGCATAGTCAAAATACAGAATAACACCAAGAACATCTCTAAAGCGACACCAGGCCACCAGAAGCGCGTAACTCTTTTTTTTTGCTACACTGCCATTCTTACTTGTCTCCCTCTTGCAAATACAATATACCTAATAGCTTGGATTCAATGATTCTCTACTATTCCAATTATCTTCACTCCCTGCAAAAAATGCTGTAATTATTCTAGGCAAATATTCTAAGACAATCTCTGGTGTGGGGACTGCATAATTTCCTTTCTAGGCAATCTTTATGAGTTTTTCTTCATATCATACAGTGTTTCCTTCTAGTGGTGTAAATATTCTCAGCAAAACCAGAGTAGAGCTTAATGCTTCTAAGATGCTTGTCCCCCACAGGAGAAATCCATTCAAACTTTTCTGAATGAAGGACAGAATCGAGTCCCCTTTTACTTTCGTTAACGTCCTTCAGCTTCTTCCCACACAAAGCGGGCTTCTGAACTCCCGCTTAACCGAATATTTGTCTTTCTGTCAGAACTGCTCATCAGAAGGAATTGAGTGTGGTCTTTGTCCCAAGCAAGTATCCTGGGTTCAATGTCATTCATTCCTGATGGATGGATCTCTAAGCAATCCTATTCCAAGGCTCATTTGACAAGTTAGGTTTATACTTCTGCCCAAGTACTTTTAAGTCATAAAGACCATAGGTATTTCATCCAAAACAGAGAATGTGTTACCTGAGATACGCTTCTTCCTATTTCTCTTTTAACCCAGATTATACTTTTCTGTAACTTTTCTCTCAGTTAAATACAATTGAGTACCTTCACTGTTATTTACAAAAAAACTGCCCACGTCCAGGGCCACTTCATTTTCTTCCCTTCTCTCAAAACAGACTCAAAGGAGAGAAAAAATCCTGCCTGGCAGTACCTACGAATGCCAAACATACACGTACCGCATTAAGCCAGAAATGAGTGTTTATGTCCTCCAAAAGGCAGGTTTATAATAATTTTATTTACTTTACTTTATTAAAGAGAAAGAGAGAAAGTGTGTGTGTGGTGGGCAGAGAATGAGAATGAATGAGAAAGAGAAAGAAAGAGCTTCTATCCAGAAGCTTACTCCTCAACTGCCCAAAAAAGCAAGGGCTTGGCTAACATGAAGTCAGAAGCTCAGAATTCACTCTGTGTCTGCCTGAGTGACAGTGACCAAGTACTTGAACCATCACCTACTTCCTTCCTTTAGTAGGAAGCTGGACTGGAAGGGGAGGGCTGGACTCCAACTAACTACTGTGATTTGGGATGTAGGCACCCCAAGTAACAACTGATAACACCAAACACGCACCTCATCACAGTAGTTCAAGTCATAAAATCCCAAAATCAGAAAGGAATCAAGTGTCTTTCAGTAGTAGAAAGAATATATATATACACACATTCATATAAAAGAGTATTTAGATTTTTTTATATATCAATCTATATTATATATAGATATGTAATATATTGCTATACACATTAAGTGGATAAATCACATTCTTGTTGAGTGAAATAAGGAATACATAAAAGATTTCCAATTATGTGAAAGACAAGAACAGGACAAACCAGGAGCTACACAAGAACAGGAGAAGCCTGGAACAACAAAAAGCAACCTAAGGGGCTTGTGGGATTAAAGGGAGTGGGAAACAAGCTTTTGCAAGCACTGGACACATTCTCTGTATTAGCTTGGATATTGATTAAAAGAATGTGGATGTGGGATGGGTATCTGGCACAAGGGTTTGGGATGTCCACACACCATATTGGAGTGCCTGGGTTCCAGTACTGGCTGTGCTTCCAGTTTCAGTTTCCTCTACTGTACACCCTGAAAGACAGTACATGATGTCTCAAATGAATTGGGCTCCTGCCAGCTATGTCAGAGGCCACATTTCTAGTGCCTGATTGTGCAAGGCAATAGTGAACGGCATAGGTAGGCAGCCTTTCCTTCATCTCAGGACCTATGCTGATGGCTTGATGCTGGAGACCAACAACTGAGAGGCAGCCAGGGCCACAGGGTGGAGGACCCAAGAATTCTACTGTCAGGGAGACAGAAAACCATCACAAGGAACTGCAATCACAATCAGATCTAGCCAAAAATAGAACAGAACTTGGAAACTGCTACTGTTAGTAGACAGAATGGAAAATATTCATATAACCAAGGAAGAAAAACTCAGCTTGTAATATACTAGCTGGACTTTCATGAGAGAATCACAAATAGTAACATTATCATAAAAACAGCCAGAAATGTGCACTGGCACATCTATCCTCAAAAGAAAGGTTAATTTACATTTAACTGAGGACTGTTTTTTTTTTCTCTGAAGTGCTTATCTTATTTTAAAAGGATTTTATGCTT